CTTTGCCTGGGCTTTCCTGCACAGCCTGCATAAGACTCAAAGCTGACCCTTAGCTTCCTGACGAGGCTGCTATCTGGCCTGTCAGATGGGAGCATCTGACATCAGAAGGCTCGCCTTTACTAGGTGCTGTGCAGGTTCTGAGGCAGTGACATTTGGGTAAATACACATAAGCCAGAAAATGATAGAGTAATGAGAAGACACTTGTCTCTATTCCTTACCATGCATCACCCATTCAAAACTCTTCTCTGCCTTCTCAAATCATCACTTCCAAGAAGATGGCCCACAGATGGGTGAGCAAGCCCCACCCCTTATCAGAAGCTCCCTAGACTCCAGTTGAGCCAATTAGCCATTCCCACAATGTTCTGTTGGACAAGCACTTGTCCTGTGCCTGTCACCCCAAAGCAGAAGTCAGACAGCATGCAGGCAGCCCTATGATAGGAGGACAAAGATGGCTCCTCTAGGGCCCACTCAGTGGCTGCCTCTGACCTGAGGAATAGCTATGCTTTGAAGAACAGGCATAGTCACAGGCGGCCAGAAGAGGCAAGGCGTAGCTGATCAACTTACAGCCTGGCCAGGGCTTCCCAGGTGCACTTAGGCCTGGCTCCAGAGCACCAACCTCATATCTGAAGCCATTTCCCTTCAGTTCTTCTGACTGCATTTAGAAAAAAGTCCTGCTGCGGTGCCCCTATGTATTTTCCCTTCTTAACCCATGGGGAGAGCAGACCACACCTGCCAGAGAATAGCAGAGGATGAAATACAACTAGAATTCAACGATGCCGTTGATCATCAATGTGTTTAGTTCTTTTTTGTTTGGGGCAGATAACTGATTTTCTGTTTATAGAAGGGCATCATGCTTTTGTTTCATTTTATTGGACTAAAACTAAAAGTCATCTGATATAAAGGGAAAATATGAAATAAAATAGGTAAGAGGTTCATGCTTACAACTAAAACAATGTGAAAGTACGCAAGTAGAAAGTGACTCTACGTGGAGGCTGCAAGAACTAGGCCTCTGACGAATTGGAGAGACAGAAATGCGAGGATGAATCTACGAACCAAGGCAGGGAGCATGAGAAGCAGGTTCTAGGAGGAAAGATAACGGATTATTACAAGAGCCAGGGCACACAGGTGACGTGACAGTAGGAGATGAGGCCAGAGAGGCAAACTGATGCTAAGCCCAAGAGAAAAACTTAAGGCCAAGGGGAGGTGTCTGGGCTTTCACCTGCATCCATGGCATCCACCAGGTCTCCAGCCTACCTGACCATCCCCCAAGCTGGCTTGACCTGGGGGAGCTGCAGTGATAAGTTGGGGTACAGAAAGAATATGGGGAGAAGCCAAGGAAGCAAGTAGATCTGCCTCAGCACTGCTGACCACAGACAGGCCTGGAGAAAGAGGGTGTGTCTCATTACAAAATTCTGGACCTCTGAATGGAACAAAGAAGGATACAGCACAGCTAGTTTGGGAGGCAGGTGTTAGTCCAAGCAGGGCTCTGCAATAGATAAGTTACCACCATATATGGAGCGAAAACTTCTAGGGTTGAAAAAAGGAAAAAAAAAAAAAAAGATTGGACTAGGATTCAAGGAAAAAAGACCTAAAGACAGCCTAAACAAAACATACTCGGCCCATGGCTGCCTCACTGTCTGCTGGCCATATGGTGTGTGATAAGCCAGAATGCTTTATTTATCTTCCATGACTCGTCCATGAAGCTGAGAGCCAGCCCTTGCAGGAGAGGCCATCTCCTGCTCTGTAGCCCTGACTCACAGCCCCCAGTCCTGTCTCCACTCCAACGGGTGGCTGGCTGCAAGTCCCTCCTCAGCCCTGTCTTAAGACACAGCTCACAGCTATTTTCCCACAACTCAAAGCCACAGGCCATTCTGTGCCCTTTGGGCAGCTGGGCCACACTGCAGACAGCTAACTAACTTGGCAGCATTCGCCCATGTTCACACTCACTGCCATTCACCCAGGCCCTTGGCTATGGCCCTGAAGATAATCAGTAGGAAAAACCTTCCTCGTGGCTGTAAGGCATCGGCCACTCTGCTATGCCGTAATAGCAATATTGTCCCTTGCTCCCTCCTTCCCTCTCCTGTCTTTCTATATTTTTCAGTGGTGCTGGGAATTGAACCTAGGGCCTTTCGCCTAAGCGATATATCCAGATAGACAGATTTTTTTTTTTTTTTTGAGACAGGGTCCTGTGAAGACACTAAGTTACTCAAGGCTGAGCATGATCTTGCAGTTCTCCTGCCTTATGCTGCCAAGATTGCAGGCATGTGCTGCCCATCTGGCTCCTATATGAAAAACATGGCTGACCAATAACTACATCTGATCTGTCCAGGTCCAAGTTCTCTAAAGCAGGCCTGCCTCCCTTCTCTCTAAATGTACAGGAGCCCTGTTGGCAGCCTTGTATTCTTCTCACCAACATCTTCATCTCTCTTCTGGGGAGCCACGTTTTGACTGAGTGGAGCAAGCCACTTGGGGTGGAAGAAAACCACTACCATTGAATCTGCCAACAGGATGCCGAGTGCAAATTTCAGGTTAAAAAACAAGTTGTTCCACTGGAACATACTGTAGACCTCTCTTGTTCACAGGGGATATGTTCATAGTTCATGGATATGTGAAATAAGTGAGTGCCAAACCTTATAGTTTTCTCTTATACATATATACATATGGTGAGGTTCAATTTATAAACAAGGCACAACCTAACAATATACTGTAGTAAAACTAACTTAAAATGCATAATTTAATTTTATGTATTTAGTACTGGTTCTACAGGGTCTCACTACACAGGTAGGACTTGTAGTGATCCTCCCGTCTTCGGCCTCCCATACACTACGATTACAGGCATGCGTCATCATGCCCAGTCTCAGCACGCCCTGGGGGTGGGGCCAGCAGTGCATGTGGGGATCAAACCCCGGTCCCCACACCTGTCTAAGCAGGTGCTTTAGTCTACTGAGCTATCTGGCCGGCCCTAAAAATGTATAATTTATAAAACGGGTTTTGTTTGTTTGTTTGTTTGCTTGGGATGGGGTGTGTGTTAGGTGTCTGGTTTTCTGAAACAGTCTCTTGCTAAGTTCCCAGGCTGGGCTCCAAATAGTGATCCTCCTGCCTCACTGGAATCGTGTGTATACTATCATAACGAGCTTGAAGTGTTACTTCTGGAATTTTTCATTTCATACTTTCAGACCTCAGTTGACCTCAAATAACTGAATCCATAGAAAGAAAAACCATGAGTAAAGGGAACTACTGTACTTAAAAACTAAAGAATTACATTCAATACCTATCTGAAATCCAAACTTAACGAAGGGTCCTATGTTTTTATTTGCTAAATCTGGCAACCCGAGATATCAGGAGGTAGCAAGACACCTCCTAGGAAGCCCTGCTTTACCCCAGTAGCTGTAGAAGCGCCCCAGAATCACCCCTATCTCAGCTGGTACCACCCCTTTGCTGCTCCTGAGTGCACTCTGCAAAGGCCTATAGGCTCTCTATGCCCACCTTGCGGTAGCGACTCAGGTAGCCATGAACAAAGGACACCAAGTGGCAGACAGTCCCAGGGGAAGAACTGGATGGAACAGGTCTAGCACTAGAAAGCACAAAAGACTTCCTCTGCTCTGCATAGTGCAGACCACAGAGCCACTCGAAGGCCAGGCCCTGTCCCAAGCAGCCTCACATCTCCCAAGGGCACCCACAAGCCAGTGGAATTTAAGACCAACAGGGACAGGGGCTGGTAGGCTTAACATGAGTGCAGACAGCTTTATAAATGGCCAACATCTCAAAGCCCAGTCAGCTGGTCCGGGCAGGCCCCGGCACGAGTTCTGGCAGATGATGTGGCCCAGCCCTACTGCAAAGAATCTCAAGGGCATGGGCGCGAGGGCTCTGGCCAGCCAAGTGCCACCAACATAGGGGCATCTTCCTACATGCGGCCCAGAAGCAGCTGTTACTTCCCTGCTCAGGCACCAAAAATGCAATAATAGAAAGATGTTTCATCTCTAATCTACAAACTATTTTTATTATTGGCTACAGATCTACTGGTTGATATTAGGTTAAACAAACAAAACTGCCTTTTTTATAAATAAAAATTGTTAGAACGTTGGCAATTACGCACAGCCCAACCACATAATAATAATATTGAGTCCCGCTATTTATGAAATTCCATGTAAAATCTTTTAAGCATAATCATCATGTAGTGCTTAATTCTTATGACCCCTTTCAAGGAACGTACTACCATGTCCATCTTAGAGAACCAGAGATGGAGACGCAAAGACGTCATCGTGCTCATCCGGCTTGATGCATACCCGCTCTCTGTGACTGTAAGATCCATCATCCCACCCACCATGTGGCCTGGGTTATGTGGTCCTTCCACCTCCTGGCCCTGTGGCCCTGCTGGCTGGTCAGTGACTGCCCGGACTCCCACTCCACACAGAGGCCACTCTGTAGCTAATCTGAGCATGACCTCCTGAATTAGCAGCAAAGTGTGTTAAACAATTTCAAGAGGAAAAAAAATATTTGAAGGTTTATTTAGAGTAAGAGGGGGAAAAGGCCTCCTGAAATAAACAAACTAATCAAGGAAGGAAAATCTAGTCCAACTGCTTTTTAAATGCCTTCACTCTGACTCTGAGCTAATATGTAATGCACCGCTGAGAGAGGGGCCAGGTCTCGTGCAAGCCAGCAACACTGCCGACCGAGAGGCACAGGCTTCTGAGGCTTTTCCCTTCGAGACCACTGAGCCTCATAGAGAGAAAAGACTGAGAAACTTTTCAAAGAAACAAATCAAAGTCAGGAAGCATCACTGGTGAACTAACCCCTAGAAGCTGAGACCGACACAATAAAATACATAAAAGTGCTGTCAGACTCCCACTTTAAAAAAAGAAGAAATGCATATTTCCTTCCTTGTAAAATTGAATTTGAGAAGTCAGAGCACATGAAATACACAGTAAAAGCAGCTTCCCACTAGTCCCAAATGAACATCTAGAGAGATCAGAATTTGAACATGAAAAGAAGAGACTGACCTTAACATGGGCCACATAGTGACGACACATCTCTTCCATGTGGGCCAGCTGCAACTTCTCCAAGACCTGGCCAGCAGTCTCTCCCAGAAACACAAAGTAGACCCTGGGCAGCTGGCCCTTCTCCTTTTTGCCCACATCAGCTGTAAGAACATAATTCAGACCTGCCAATAAAGGAGATTAAGATGTCAGCAAAGGCACACAGTAGTGAGGCTACCTCTGCTCCCCAACAAGAGGTACCTAGCCCTCCATTCCAGAGGTCAGAAGTCCTGGGTGAGGGAACCAGGGGATCCCCTGCCTTTCCAGTGATGCTCTGTGTGTTATCCCTCATGGTTCTCCATGACTTAAACTCTGTGCTATCATGGGGTATCAAGAGAGCCATCAACATGTATATCAACAATTACTTGTACCAACACAGGCTAGTACTCCAGGCATTCTAAAGGTAAACCTATAGAATGTTTGAGAAGCTTAAGTGATCAGGGTGCCATGTGGTATTGACTGCTACCAAGCACTGCTATATACATCCAACATCGGTGTCTCAGTTACTTTTCTCTCACTTCTGGGACAAAATACTTAACACCCAAAATGAAGGAAGAAAAGGGCTATTTAGATTACAGTGGAGGCTTCAGCCTATACTTGACTGGCTCCGAGGCAGAGTGGCACATGGCAAAGGGCAGCCATTCATGGCAATGGAAAACAGCAAAGAGCAAAGGGAGGAGCAGTGGCTGCCTCCCTCCTTTCCTTATATTGTAATGCAGAGTACCCACCCCAGGGTGGATATAGCACTCACACCCACAATCCCAGCACTGGATCATGAATCAAGCAAGCCCAAACTCTAGAAGCTGCACCATGACTGCATGAGACTTTGGGGGGACAACTAGGCACAAACCATAACAGGGGAACAATCACTTCTGATAATTCTACATCACCTCACAAATGCCAAGTCATGGTCCAGAGTTACTAAGCACCAACAGTACAACAAGCACACTGTAGGCACAAGGGGAGAGAGACAATGATGAATAATATGGGCAAAAGCCTGCCTTCCCAGGGCCCACATGCCTGGCTCTCAGAAGCTGTTCTAACTGCATTCCCAGGAAGCTATATACGGTGACCAAGGACTTTGTGATGTCCACTCTAACAAAACCATGACCATGGTGATTGAAGTCGACTCCCAAAAACACAGGCCTGCCACCTCTACCTGAACATGTAATGCCAGGGGACTGAACTGCTGAGACACCATTTGGGATTTAAATATCTGTGGTTCTAATGTCCAATGCATACTGGATCGATTCTAAAAACTTCACTTTCACTATTTCAGAGTTTGTAAGAAGATAGATAAAAATATGCTTTTGTCAGGTGTATATGAATTAAGTGAGTGGTACTAGGGATTGAACCTAGACTTTTCACAGCGAGCTACATTTCCAGCCCTTTTATTTATCTTATTTTTTAAATTTTGAGACAAGGTTGCCCTAAATTGCCCAGTCTAGGCTCTAACTTTCAATCCTCCTGCCTCAGCCTCCCAGAATACAGATACTGTAGGCATGAACTACACACCTGGCTTAAATGCGGCTTTAGCAGTGACAGATCTATTTCACCACTTTTCTATCCCAGAGACCAGCCATCTGTAAACATTTTTATTTCTTAACTGATTCGTGGATTTAGAGAACGTGGCAATTTTACAGTGAGAGAACAGGAACTTGTGTTTCTAAAATGACCAGACCAGATAGCTGAGCAGCAATAAGAGGAGGACCCTGCTCGCACTCATCTCCAAGCCCCTGCCCCTTCAAAGCTGACATCTTGACACCAGCAGAAGCAGCCCCACGCCTGCTGGCATTTCACTATGTGAAGCCGGCAGCAGAGATGGCTCTGGCTTTCAAGAACATTAAAGAGCCCAACCAAACCCTGGGGGTGGTCTGGACAGGGAGAAAAGAAGATGCCGTGGAATGGACAGGCCACGTGTGACTGTGCCTGGGCCTCTTTCTGATGCTTTCCTGAGTCGCAGGTCTTTTGCCACACCAAGCTGGTGGATTCCTGAGCAGAGAGGGCACATCTGCCCCAGCTTGTTTATTCCCGCAACAGCTGATTTCCAAGGCAAGGCTGGCTTTCCAGGAAGAACGAGGGTCACAGATAATCACAGGAGCTAGCAAGAAAAGAATATAGGAAAGCACATGGGAGAGTGCTTCAACAGAGGAAGTGCACATGTCCACAGAAGTGTTACACATCGCCCCAGGTGGGTAGAAGTGCAGCGGACTTCCAGCTGCCAAAGCTTTAACGTAATCCTAGAGGTCATCCAGATCATTTTATTTTTAAGATGAGAAGACTGGAGTCCAGAAAAGGAAAAGACTTGCTCCAGGCCAGAAAGCATCCACTACAGAGCAGGAAGGAGAAACTCTGCCACCCTCTGCTACAGGGCTACCCCTACCACACTGGGTCTTGGGCATCTTTTTTGTTTTGTTTTTACATAAACTGACCCAACACTTATTTTTTGAGTGTAGCAATAGCAGAACCAAACATGTTCAGATATTCAGAATGGAACTCCGGCCAATTCACTTTCTATTAATCACAACTTCCCTGAGCAATAGCCAGAGATACAAAGGCTACATTTAAACAAAGTAAGTACCAGAGTCCCAGCAAGCAGATTCGTGGCTGTATATGCACCTTGCTAGGAGACAAGCGAGAGGGTGCTGACTGAGTCAACAGATGCTGGAGTGGCAGCCACTGGGCAGCATCTCCCAGGAGGCTCCTGTCCAGCCCTCCTCCCACATGAGGTAACCATAGCTGCTGTCCCTCAGCAGTGGTGACAATGGAGAGAACAGCAGTACCAAGCTGTCTTGCCAGAGAGGACCCGCTGGCTGAGCTTGGAGAAGATCTGGGTAGATAGGAACACAGGAAAATGAAGCATGTGGTTTCAATCCCCCACTCACATCCTCCTGCCTTTCCCATTTCTCTACTGCCAGCACCTGCAGTCCTTTGCCTGAGGGGTTGTTTCAGCCACCTTGGGGTAGCATGGCTGTGGGGTACCTTCTGTGCAGACTCCCAGGCTTCCCAGCAGGTCAAAGTATCAGCTGCCCAAAGTGGTAGCTGCTCAGCAATACATCCTCTATCAAGCTGCCAAGATGGCTCATTTTGTGTCAGCGTGGCTGGACTATAGTACCTAGATATTTGGTCAAGCACAAACACAGGCATTTTTTTAATCATTCATTCATTCATTCATTCATTCATTCGTTTATTTATTTGGTACAGGATCTCAATACGCAGCTCGGACTCTTAGTGATTCTCCTGTTTCAGCCTCCCCAGAGCTGGGCTTATAGGCGTGTACTATCATGCCCAGTTTCAGAAGCTGGCTTGGAGGCACAGGGCAGGGCCAGCACGGCACAGAGTGTCAGTTATCAAACTCGGGTTTTTTGGCTTGTCAGGCAGGTAACAGACCACTAGCTATTTTCCCAGCCCCCAACAAAGACATTAAGATATTTTTAAAATAAGAGCAACACTTAAATCAGTGGACTGAATATAGCAGATTACGTACCATACTGTGAGCGGGCCTTATCCAACCATTTGAAGATCTTAAGGGGAAAACAACACTACAGTTCCTTCCAAAAAGCAAGAAATTTGCTTCCTGCCTGCCTTCAGATTTGAGCTGCAACTTCAACTCTTCTCCAGGTCTCCAGCCTACTAGCTTGCCCTGCATAATTCAGGCTTTGCCAGGCCCTATAATTTCGTGATTCAGTTTTCTAAAATCAACCAATTCATATTCATTCATACTCCCTGCACCCTATTCTGGCTCTCTGGAGACCAATAACTATCATAGCTGTCTACCTTTGCTATCTCATTGTCCTCAAACACAGGCAAGTCAGGAAAAGGGAACGAATTCAGCCTCCAACATATGCCTAGCTCTGTGTGTGAACCCTATAAGCAAGACCGTTAGTCCTCACGGTCCATCCACGAGAGAACCACTGACACAACACAGCCCCCTAGAAACTCAGAGGGAAGAAAGGCTCACAGAAACTGAGCCAAGGACAAGGTTGCAGCTGTCTGTTGTAGGCAGGGTTTGTGCATGTGAGCACCACCTATCTGACTTCTCTAAAGTGCTGAAATACACAGAGAAAGATTAAATTATCCAAATCATGAAGGACAATCATTCTGGAACCATTTCCTCCCTAGAGCTGTCTATTTAGCAGTCCTCCTTGACCTAAAATTTATTTTGACATTTTAAATTATCCAAGAAGTCAGTTCTGTATCAAACTGTCTCTTTGAAAAGAAAGCAAGACGTGAGACCATGCCTGAGTGAGGAGACTCTCCTAGCTGTCAGCAGTAAGGAGAAATACAGGTCATTCTGAAGCGCTGAGCTCCAGTGGTGGTTTAGAACAGCACTCACCCATGTCTCTAAGCATGTTGGGAAGTAGCTCCTAGAAAGCAGAGACTTAACAGTGAAGCAGCCAGTTGGCTCGCTTGGTTTGGGGGGGGGGTCCCCTCAGGCTTACCCAATTGTTGCAGCCACCCCTAATGCAAGCCAGCCCAGCCAGCCTGTCTGGACAAAGGTGCTGGTTCTGATTAGGGCCTGCTCCAACAACTCAGTCACATCTTCAGGGTTTTCCTATGCACAGCTTGTGTCCATGCCGTGTCGAATGATGTCATGTTGATGGAAAAGCTGATCAGCCCCGAGTAATGCTTTCAGCCGCCTCCTTTCCCTGCCCCCAGCTGGCTCCCAAGGGCCCCCCACTCCAGCCTGGGCCAGGAGGGGACCAGCTGTCTTGCATCAACTCAGGCTCTGGCCTCTCCCACTCAGCTTTGAATCATTCCTCCTCTCCATCAGAACAAGATTTCAGCTGTGAAATTCTACTAGCAAATTCTCCTTCCACAGTTACTCTGAGCTTCCCAGTAGAGGGGGGAAAATGGTATTTCCACTTTATTATCTTTCCTTATATTCCCTGAGGAATGAGACATTAATTACTAGCTACCCCTTTCCTCACATACATGGATTTCCTTCATAATCCTGTGCCTCCATACTTTTCAAAGGACCAAAAGGAGCTCAGAGAACACAAACACCCTAGAGCAGAAGTGCGCACCTAACAGCAGAAAAGGGACCTGGGGACAAACCACTTGGCTTCAACCCTATTTCCGCTATTAGTGTGGGTGGTGTTGGCGCTGGCTCTCTGGACCTTTTCTTGCTCACAGCTTTGTCAGTGATCCAAGAGTCATAGCAGCACAGGGCACTCCATCGAACCTTCCTGGTTTTCATTTATTACTCTGGTGAGAGTCCAAAGGTGCCAGCTTTATTTCCCCCTCCAAAGAGGAACGTGCACACTTAGGCTTCAGTCTGGCCAGTGAGCAGATACAAGCACAGCCTATGGGTAAGGGGAGAGTCTCTCCACACCAGAGGGGACCCTGAGAGGCCCTAGGCAGCTAGCTCCCCAGGCCAAGGATCCAGTGATTAACGATCCTCTCTGGGATAGGTAGAATTCTTAAACTGCTCATCATGTTATAAGCCTGCTTTTCGGGAGCCTACTGTCAGAATGAGAAAGCTGTGTCTGCGCACCAGCACTCGGCATGCGGTGCCTGCTCCACCAAGGGCCTCAGCATGTGCCTAGAAGAGCAAGCCAGGGAGCCTCCCTCCCACTAGAATGCAAGCTCTGTGGTCAGAGCCTGTGGCTAGGCAGAATGTCTGGCACTTGGTAAGACTTCATAACTGTTTGTTGATCACAGAACCCAAAATGGCATGGACTTGTCTTATTATCCCATCTCCATGCTTCTCAAGAGTCCAAAAGTAGCTCAGAAAATTTTGTCTCTGTGCAACAGTCGAGTAAAAAATGCACCCCAGACACTTTAGTGGCCCACAGTGACAGGTGCTGGCTGTGCTGGTTCAGGAAGCTGTTGTCTCTCAGCTCCAAACTTACCTCTCTCAACTCTGCTGGGATTCTGGGGCTGTGTGCCAGTCAGTCTTCTTGTCAACTAACTTTATGACGAGATCTCTGAAGAGGCGATTGGATAGTGGGCTAACTTACAAGCGCATCTGTAAGTTAGCCCACTAACAAGCTCACAGCTGAATGGGCTCTGAGGAGCTGGGGCCCAGCTAAAGGAAGTGGGTCAAGGCATCCGCTTAACTAGGTTTTGGCCCGATCTCCTCCTCTCTGGCTTCTCCCCTTGCTCTCTACTTCCCACATGCCATGATTTGAGCAGTTTTCTTCTCTCCAGGCCCTCTGCCATGAGGTTTCTCCCTTGGAGCCAGCCAACTGTGGATTAAAACCTGTGAAACTCTCTCTTTTAAATTGTAGGTGTTAGGTATTTCGTTCCAGCAATAGGAAAGCTGACTAATATGGGCTGGGACCCCATAGAACTTCCTCCTTTCCGTTTTTCCAATGGCGCCTCACAAGCCTTTGCAAATATAGGATGTTCAGGGAGCCTGTGAGGCTGAAGGAGAAGAGCTTCGCTCCTTCACAGCCACTCCCCAGTCCTGTCCACATAGCCAGCAGTAGTTCATAGCAGCTGGTCCCACCAATGGTTAACTCCAATTTCTCATTTTCCTCCCTCACTTCCCAAATCAGCCTCATTGCACCGCCTAAGAGTGACCAGCAGCCCCAGCCAGTGCTTCCTCCTCAGAGGCTTAAGTTCAGTTCCACAAAACCCTTTCTCCAAACCTACAGGTTCTGGTAATCTCAAGGAACTGATTAACCCCAAGTATAACCGTGACCAACGGGTCTCATCTAGACCACCTGGAGGATCATTAGAACACAGCTGCTGGCGCCCTGCTCCTTCCATCTGCATCCTAACCCTGCTCAACCATGAGGCTACTTGAGCACTGACCTCTAGGACGCCCTCCACAGTCAGGTTATATAGCTCCTAAAAAGCCCCTCTTCCCCTTCAGCTCACTTCTCCTACAGTTGCTCACTTTTCCTCTCTAGGCTCCCATATACCACCAGTCCACTTTCTGGCAGATTTTCTGTACCTTTCCCTATTCACAAAGACTGAGATATAGTTCATTTTCATATAACCCATGGAAATTAGCAGGAAAACATCAGAGATTCAGTAGCCCAGATGACACCCGAAATCTCTGGATATCCTTGCTAAATCTGATTTTTGGGAAGAGATTCCAGGGATTGAAGCCAACACTCATACAAGCTAAGCATACTCTCTACCACCAAGCTATACCTTGGCTCCAAATTGATTTTTTTTTTTTTTTTTTTTTTTTTTTTTTGTCTTTTTGAGACTGAGTCTTGCTATGCAGTTCAGGCTGGCCTTGAACTCATTTTGTAACCCAGGCTGCTCTCCAACTTGCATGGCTTCTGACTCAGCCACCCTGCATACTCAGGCAGGACAGTCACCATCTAGCTTTGGACATATGGCAACTTTCTTGTGTGACCCACAAAGGAACAAGACTTTTTTTTTTTTTTCCAGAACTGGGGATTGAACTCATGCCTTGCGCTTGCCAGGGAAGCGCTTATTCCACTGAGCCATCTCCCTGCCCCAAGAACATGACTTCTAACAGCCTTTCTTTTCCATGCCTCAAGGTTCATGGCTGAGCCCAGACCTTCAAGCTAATTCTTCCTAGTGGTCAGTGAAATGTCAATTCCTGGCAGGACCTCAGAAAGGGTCACTGGCTAAGAATCAAAACATCCCCCATATCTCTTCAGTCAACTCATAGACTTCCTCATCAATGAGTTCTACCACTTATCTCAAGCTTTGAAACCACTCCTGCTCAGACTTGCATCTCAGTTTATTTTGTTACCATTACCAGTTTATCTTTTTACCACAAAAGTGACCAAGAGTTGAAGGCTATGCATTCAGCCTTTGGATGATTTACGACAAAAATATTAAATTGGCGCTGGTAGTGCTTGCCTGCAATCCTAGCACTCAGAGGCTGAGGCAGGAGAATCACAAGTTCACACACCATCTGGGCAACTTAGTGACTTAGCAAGACTGTCTCAAAATTTTAAAAGGGTGGACAATGTAGCTCAGGATCATGGTCCTGGGTCAATCCCCCAAAACACTGAAACAGTAGACATTCTCTGTAACTTCCTTTAGAAGCTCCATAAGGGCACAACCAATATTTCCAACACCTAGCACATGAAGACACAAAATAAGTATTTTTCAAATTAACGCACACATAAACTATAACCATTTGCTTTTTTAGTGTTTTAGATAATTTATAGCACCAAAGTTAATATGCATAGGCTGGAGGTATAGCCCAAGAATATACTATAGTGGTAGACACATTTATCTTCGGAAAGTCCCTGAGCTTGATCCCCAGGACCATAATAAAAAGAATATTTAATCATTCATTGAAAATGTTTGTCAATGGATTCCAACTACATTATGAACTGGTATTTGGTTAAAGACATATGAGTCCCAGAACCCTCAGCAACCCTTTTTCCTTAAGACTACTTGAGGTACTAGAAATAGTTGTTGGAAAATACAGCCCTTCAAGTAAAAACAAAACGTCTATTAACCTGCATGTTGCTCCAAATTCATGTCCTTCAAGTACGAGTTCTTATCAACATTGACCCTACCTTGTCACAGGGTTTACCCAGTTTCTGGAGGTGGGATAGCTAGCAAGTGGGCCTTCACCAGAGAAACAGCAGGAACAGCTGCCACAGGCCTTCTTCTAATTCTCTGAGCTCCCCAAGCAGAGCCCCCTTTTATGCATACTTAAGCCTGTGAAAATTCTGCACCCTAATTTCACAGTACAGCTCAAGGGAGAGCCTTTAAACTCCCATGCTTCATTTTTCTAACTGCATGGAGAATTCTTGTAGGAATGGGCTCTAGGCATGACATTTCCTCCAGTCCAACAATCAATCCTTCCCATAGTCTAGGGAATTTTAGTTCTGTCCACATACATTTGGGGAAAGGATGCTTGAGGTCTAACAATAGCTGTCCTAGAGCTTAAGGATGTGTGAAACTTGGCACATGTAGATGGGCAGGAGAGAGGGGAAACCTCAGAGAAAATGCCCTGTCCACAGGCAGTCCAGAAGGGATGCACGGTGAACGAGAACTCCAACCTATCCCCAGCTGTCGCTCATCCTGCCACCCTACTCCAGCTAGGATGGCTACCCTAAGCCCTGACTCAGTGATTCATTACCGATTTCTCCCGGAACATGTTTGCCATGGAACCTAAAGCAGACAGTGACATTCAGGCAGTTTACAGGCTGCTGTCCATCATGACACTGAGGCGCTGTGATGTTGATGGAGCCTGGGAGGACAATGGAGACATCCACTGTAATGACAGGTCTGGCCCTGCAAAGTAAGAGCAGAAGATGGTTCAGTCATGTTAGGGGGCAAAACAAGAAGAATTATACAACCAGGATAAATCCCAACCCTTCAGCCAATTAAATAAAGTATGAAATAGCCAAAGAGAAAAGAACTAATGTGCTCTGTATGTGCTTTTTCTGGTTTTAAAAGTAGCACATTTCCTAATAAATAAATGGTTAGCTTCCCAGTGATAAATCCAAGTTAGCTGTTGAGAAGATATATTTAGCTGAAGCCATTAAGCAGTTACGAGATGCCAGATAATTATTTAAAATTTCACCAAATAAGTTCTGATTTCCATTCTATTGGAGATATGAATGCAGAAGGAGTTAATGCAACAGAAACCATAATTCAAGAATTACATCACACTCATATATCCCTCAAAGCATGCACTGCCATTGTAAGCATGAATTGCAAAATTTCTATCAAGGGGCCGGGGAGATGGCTCAGTAGAATAAGCACTTGCCTGGCAAGTGCAAGGGCCTGAGTTCAATCCCCAGCTCTACAAAAAATAAAAATAAAAATAAATTCTATCAAGTTGGCCAAATCTCCACCTCATGTACCTCTATTAATTCACAGCTGCTAACAACAAAGATCTTCAAGAGAAAAAAAAAAAAAATCAACCTGCCTGGCCTCAGGACCAAGTGAAACCTAACAAGCACTCACACCCCTTTCCTTGACATGGACCATCCCTCAGTTCTTGATGGATAGGCAGCATGCAAGGACTCCCCTGGGGCACTCAGGGAAGAAAAAACCTGCTGAGACTGAATCACCCATTCTGTGCTCACTGCAAACATCTGTTCAGGAAGATTCCACCTAGGTTGCACCTTAACCTTCTTCCCCTAGGCCTCACAAAGAAACCCTTTGACCTCCCGGAGCCCCAGCCTTCATGGTGCCACTGCCAGGGGTGGCATAACAAGATCGAGGAGCATTAGTGGCTTGAGAACAATGACCTCCCTTGTGTAAAAGCTCCCTCAGAAGTGCTGAGGGTAACAGGACAGATGCGAAGTGCCCAACCATTTCAAAAGAAAAGGCACTTAAGGAAAAGCTGGTGTGAAAAGGAAAGGAAGAGACAATCAGCACAGATGAGCTGAGGGAAATCTCCTGCTGCCATCACTTCTGGGACAGGAGGGTCAACAGCAGGGCAACTGTGACCAGGGCAGGGGAACTGCAAAGCTGGCTGTAGGGCAAAAGGAAGTCAAACAATGGTGCCTGAAAGAAAGCAACATCCTGGCCTCTCAGGTTTGGCCTGGATTTATCCTTAGAAGATCCTAGAAATAACTTAGAAAGTAGATAGTTTACTCTTGGTCAATTTCTTCTGAAAAGACCCCAATGGGCACTGTATAAAGCCCCACTGCTCTTCAACAGCCAGCTTGAGTGTCCTCTCCCCCAGGAAGTTTTCTGAGGACCCCTGGCTCCTCTCTCTGACTCCAGCTCTGCAGATGCACTTCTGCCTTCCTCCCTACTAAGGAAAACAGTCATATTTCCAAACCTGCCTACAACACCCCTACACCACCAGCACCTCCACCCCTTGCACTCCACACCCCAGATCTGGGGTCCCTGCACATCCTTTTCACTTTTCCAGGACAGTAGATGTGCAGAACCCTTGTTTGCACACTTCACTGGAGCCAGGAGATTAAGCCTCAAGAGTGTCTGACCCTGCAGCCCCTGACCTGATGCTCCAAGAACAGAAGAAAAGCCCAAGCCCCTCCACAGCCCCAGAGCCTGCTCACTCAAGAGCTCAGGGAGCTAGCTAAGCAAGAGGCACAAGTGCACAGGCCACACTCTCTGACATGGACCAAGCTTGCCAGAACAGAATCCTTTGAAATGCCCGATGGGGCCCTCACAGGTACATCTCCTTCCAACATCTGTCAAATCAATTCCCACTAACCCTTTTGTTTCCACTCCAAGTATTGTTTTTGGAGGATGAAAAGCCCAGAAATCTTTCATAAGCTTCTCTCATCACTTCCTTCAGTCTACAATGGCACGACACCAGGTGCCTATCACCCTAATGCAGGACCTGCCCTCCTGAGAAAACTTCCTGAGGGCACAGTGGGGACAACCCACAGGCCTGGGGCAGCATCTGGCCTCTCACAGTCCTACTAACCTGTGTGCCAACCTCTAAGATGAAAGCAAAGGGCACCCAAGGACAGCAGCACAAGAACTTTCAACATTTAAAGGAAGCAAGTAGCTGGACTGCCCTTTGTGATGGCTGACAGTTCAGTTCCTCACATTCCACTCCCAGTAAATAATAAGAGCAGTCAGAGTCTCCTTCAACATGATGCTCAAATGTCCCTGGCCTTTTGTAAGGCACAGGTAGGTGGACAGATAGAGAACCTAAGTCCTGGGTGATACAGTTGGCTACTAAATCACCCCTGGGTCAAACTGTTGGCTACTACATCACCTCTGGGGTGCCTACCTCCAGGAAATTTGTTTATGTTTCCATAAGTTAAGCCACTCTTGATCAAGTTTAATAGTAGTTACAGCCCAAAGTACTCCTACCCACATGCCTTTGGGATAGTCAGATCCCTTGGATAGTCAAATACAATGAGTGCATATCTGCATATACAGAGAGACAGACAGAGAGACCGACAGACTGACAGACTGACAGACTGACAGACCGACAGACCAACCGACCCCGACTGACCTAGATTTCCCCTTTCCTGGTCTCACCACAAATCAGAGGCACTCAAAATTCTGACTGACTTCCCACCAGCCAGGCCTTGCCTGAGCCCCCTACCTCATTCAGCTGAAGTTTCCAGGCCTTGTTTCTTATCCAGCCACATCCCAGCAGCTGATCGACCAGTGCGCTATAGATGTCCTACCTGCCTGGCCTCAGATGTGCTGGGTGAGTCCTCCGCCTGTCCTTTGTTTCCTCCCTGAGGGCTGCAGCTGGGCTCTGAAACCTCCTTGGTCCTTCCTGGTCCTCCATGCCCTCCTAGGACAGGGGAGAGGCAGTCCCCTCAGCTTCACCCTCACTTGAATCCCACATGGAAGCTCATCTGACTCTTCTTACTTTGGGACTCCCTTCCCTCTAGCGTGTGTGTGAGATTCCATCTCTCTGTCCAACCTATTGTCCAGCAGTGGCAGCCTCCCTTTCCTCCTTTCCTCCACAGACCCCTAGAGAAGAACAGGGTCAAAGCACTAACCACGAGGATAGAGTGACCACCTCTGATCCTTTCCAGAGGGTCAGGGACTGAGGTGATAAAAAGAAGGTGTCTCAAAGACATTCTTGGCCTAATCCCTGGTGCAGAGCCTTCTGGCCTTGAAATGCTTGCCAATTATATCTTCTCCCTAGCAGCTTATCTTCTGGAAACATAGTGAAGATTGACTGCTTGCTTGCTTCTTCTGTTGTTGCCCACCTACAGCCATCTGGTTTTTGCACCATCATTTCTCTAGGGTCAAAGGCACAAGTGACCTCTCACTGCCACTTCTGACAGCACTCATGATTCACTGGGCCTTTTCTGCTAAATTCCACCCCCACTCCCTGACCACAGGACCCTGGTTTGTTGATCTCATAACATCACCTGGTATTATCCCTTTTTCTAAATTAATAAAACCTGCATATCTGTGGTCTCCTCACCCACCAACTGGGGCTAATAATATCTAAGTTACAGAGTTGTCAAGGAGACTAAGGGTTAATACACATTCTGTGAACAGTAAGGATGAACAAAACATAACATATTCAGAATAAAACCAAAACATGGACAAATCTCAAAGACATGATGTTGAATGAGAGAAGCCAGAAACAGTATATACAATATAATTCCATTTATGTGAAATCCTAGTGATCTATGATACAAATCACAACAATGCCTATCCACTGGAGGGGGCGACTAGAAAGAGGATGAGGAAACTTCCAGAGGGGACAAAAGTGTTCTTTATCTCAATGAAGTATTAGTCACACAGGAGTCTATGTTGATCAAAATTCACTGACTTGTACACTAAGACTGCTACATTTTATATTCTGTAAATGATGCCTCCATACAGAAAGACGACAAGAAAGAATGAAGACACAGTCATGTACCACATATAACATCTCCATCAAAGGCAGCGCAGTCGGAGCATAGGAGTCTCCTATGATGATATCACCTAGTGATAACACAGGTCTTAGTTTAAGTGTACACTATCATAATGTTCACATAATGACAAAAGCAATGAAGCATTTCTCTGAGGTATCCCCATGGTTACAAGACACTCTGAAACCTCCTCTGCTCTCCCTGTCCCCTTGCCTTCCTGAAGTGGATCATGGCTGATGTAAAATGCTTACACAGTGCCTGGCACACATTTGGTGTTCACCAAACATGAGTTGCATCTTAGCTATGCGTGTTTGACTCTTTGGTTAGAATACCAGGTCAAGGACTAGGTCTGCCATGTTCTCTTGCAAGTCCCCATAATCTAACATGTATGCAAGTTGCATTTCAGCAGGTCAGGATACATTTTGCTGAGTGAATGAGGGAACAGACTTCTTGTGATCAGACCATCCCCTACACATCCCTCCTCCCCAGGTAGCATGGTCTCCTGCTTTTCCTGGGGCTTCTCTTGGCCTTGCTGAGGTGAACTCCCCAGTTCCTATCCTAGACCACTTCTCTCTACTAATATACTCCTCAGCTTTCTCTTCAAAGAACTTTACACTGATCCCTGGTATTTGCCCCTCACCAGATTCAACCCTTCACGTGAGGCTGGACACCAGGGTCTCCAGTCCACTGCATGACTTATATTACATAGGAGAACAGCTCATCTATGAAGGTGAGAAAAAGAAAATGCCCTTTGGGTTGAAGCTCAGAGGTGGAAAATGATGAAATACTAGAATGATGACAAGGCAGAATCTACATGAGAGACCTTATACCAGATGTCCACTGCTGAGTGGAGGGCCTGTCTTCAACTGTGGAAACACAAGGGATGAGTTTTGAGTACAATCCTCACAAACCCATGTGCACTGGATATAAAGAAAAGTGAAGATATTACAAAAGCTTTAGAGTGCTCCACATCACAAGTTGAACCTCCATTATTTGGAGCCAGGTAAGTCATCTACTCAAGAGGAAAAAGTGATAAAGAAAGCGAAAATCCAGTACTACAGGGGATATACTTCAATGAAGCAGGGTGGTTGGATCTTTATCATCAGGGGACACAACTGTCAACTTCAGATTCTGAAGGGCTTCTGGATAGATGACACAAGACAAGAAAACCAAATTTTAGCACAGCACACAACACAATTTACCTAAGACTTCCAAATGCTTGTTAAGCACTTATCATAGGCACTGAGCCAAGCATATCATATGTACTAAGTCATTGGTTCTTGTAAGTACTATTGTTATCCTGATTCACAAGGCAGAACCCTAGAACAAAAAAGTCAGGGCCTTTCCCAAGGAAGTTCACCTTCTAAGTACAGAGACAGTTTGATCCCAGACCAAACTCAACCTGAGGGATATCATGTTTCTTTAATAACTCAATAGTTGAGAGTATAATTCAATAGTTAAGAGTTCAGGGGCTGGGGAGATGGCTCAGTGGAATAAGCATTTCCCTGGCAAGTGCAAGGTCCTGAGTTCAATCCCCAGTTCTGCCAAAAAAAAAAAAAAAAGTTAAGAGTCCAATTGAACAACTTCTGTAATGAAAAACTACAGTGCTTGGAAAAAGGAGATCAAAGACAACACCAGAAAATGGAAAGATATTCCCTGTTCCTGGATAGGCAGAACGAGTGTAGTAAAAAAAAGGAGATACTTCCAAAACTGATACACAGATTTAGTGCAACACAATCAGAATACCTCAGAGAACTAGAATGAAAATCCTAAAACTCATATAGCACCAAAAAAGATCCAGAACAGCAATCCTGGGTAACAAGAGCAAAACAGAAGACATTATAATCCTGGATTTCAAGTTACATTACAAAGTTAAAGGGATAAAAACAGCATTATACATGCACAAACAGACACGCAGATCAGTTGAACAGAATAATGCATGCAGAAACAATCCCAGCACAGTCAGCTGTCTGATCTTTGACAAAGAGGCCAAAAACATACACTGGAGGAAAGATAACCTCTTTAGTAAATGATGCTAGGAAAACAGACTATCCACTCATATTTCTCACCATATACTAAACTAAAATCAAAATGTAACAAGAATTTCACTGTTAAAACAAAAACCTTTAATTTGCTGGAGAAATAAAATAGGTAAAGTCTTGAAAACATAGGCAAGGTTTTTCTTAAAAGAACCCCAAAAGCACAAAAATAATGTCAAGACATCAACAAATACGATCATAGCAAATTAAAAATCTTATGCATAGCAAAGGAAACAACCAATACAGTGAAGAGTCAAACTATCAGATGGGGTGGGAGGAAGAGAACTCCAACTATACCTCAGACAGAGGTTTAACACTTAGAACATGCAAAGAACTGAAAAAAATTACACTTCTTAAAATAAAAGACCCCATCAAAATATGGGCAATTGAAATGAACAGACACACTTCTCAGGAGTAGCACAAATGGCCAATAAATACATGACAAAATGTTCAACATCTCTGGCCATTACAGAGATGAAAACCAAGACAACACTCAGTCTTAACCTTGCTCTAGAAAGAATGGCTACCATCAAGAAATTAACCACTGCTGATAAAGATGTGGCAGAAAGGGACCCCTCTACATTACCGCGGGGAGTGTAAACTAGTACAACCACTATGGAAATCAGGATGGAGAGTCTTAAAACAAAACAAAACAAAACAAAACCTAAAATTGGGCTGGCAAGATGGCTCAGCAGACTAAGTACCTGCTTAGGCAAGCACAGGGACCTGCGTTCGATCACCAGCACCATGTGCCATGCTGGCCCCACCTCCAGGTGCACTGACCCAGACTGGGCGTGGTGGTGCTCATATTCCCAGTGCTGGGGAGGCTGAAAACAGGGGATCACTATGAGTCCAACCTACATAGTGAGACCTTGTACCAAATACATAAATTAAAAAAAACAAAACTAGTATCTAGAAATTTTATTTGACCCACTTATTCAACTTCTAGGCATCTTCCCAGAAGAATTAAAGGCATCATGCCAAAGTGATATAGGCATCCCCATGTTTATAACTGCACAGTTCATAATAGCTAAATCATGAAAATTATGTGTCCATCAACAGGTGAACAAATAGAGAAAATGTGGTATTTACATACAAGGGAGTACTACTCTGCCATAAAGGATAAACTAGAATCATTTGTAGGAAAATGGATGCACCTTAAGACCAAGTGTTAAGTGAAATAAATCAGACACAAAAACTTAAATATCACATAGTTTCTTATATAAAAACCCCAAAATATAAAAAAGCTAAACAAAAAGAAGGAATAGGGAAACAGGTCTTGGGAAAATGGAAAGGGGATCAAGAGATGGCACAAGGAAGGGGATGAAGGAGGAATTGAGCTGCACTATGTACAAGTACCAACTTCCCAAAAGGGAGGTAATCATTATGTGCTGAAAACATGGACTAATAAAAAGTAAAAATTAAAAAAGAAATTCAAAGATTAGAGTCACCTGGGGGTCAGCTGTTTCCCTTAGGAGTTAGTAAGCCCCTACTGCCAGGCACCTCATTTGAAGAGACTGTGTGTCCCTCTGGGAGAGAGACTCCAGCAAGCAGAGCCAATTGAGAAGAATCTGGGGTGGGGAACCACATGGCTTCTGGGATCTCTTCCAGCTGTAAGATCCTACTAGTCTATTTTAGAACATTCTGCCACAAGGTTATTAACAAAACCTAAGAGTTGGCTCTCACTCCAAAGTGTAATTCTGCCTCCTCTCTGACTCACTCAGACAGAAATACTTGAAGAAGATTCGTGGGTGGTGATGGCAACCCACTGGCCTCTAAAGCAGTATGCGGGCTCCCAGGAGGACTGCACGGAGTTCACATTCCACCTCTCTGTTCACCAGAGAATGAGGAGCTATGGAATGGGCAGGAGGCTCCCAGGTCCTGGGCGTGGAGGACTGGTTGAGAAAGGATATTAGGTGCAGAAGCTAAAGTGAAGACATACAGTGCTCCCCAACCCTCTGAGTGCCACAGCATCCAAGGAAACCCCAGTATTTACACTGCACTTTAATGAAAGGGGCTATGCATGGCCAAGGCAAACAGTCCTCAGGTGGAGGGACAGGTCACACCAAGTGCCACATAGATCAGCTCAGAAGTTATCATCTCCCAGCAATAAGCTGTTCAGCACCTCCCAGATGGAAAGTCCAGGATAGAATATAATGAGAGTGAGAAAATAAAGGCATCATTTCCATTTGTAAAGCACCTCCAGCCGGAAAGAAGCAGGGCAGAGCTGGGTGATGGTAAGCTACTGCACCGTGTCTCCCCCACTGACTTCCATCTCTCACCCGTGATGAGCTACAGCAAGGCATCTCACCTCAGAAGAACCACGCTGTCAGACATGAAGGCGCCAATGGTGACATCTGAAAACAATAAGTCACAGCACTCAGAACTTGTCGAAGCCCCCCCCCCAAAACAGTCTCCACCCAGCATGGTGCTCTGCAGCAACTGAGGCCTGACCTTGACTCAAGGAGCCCTCAAACTGCCATAGTTGGGGCCAGGGAGATGACTAAGTAGAATAAGCGCTTGCCTGGCAAGCGCAAGGGCCTGAATTCAATCCCCAGTTCCACCAAAAACAAACAAAGAAACAAACTGCCATAGTCTGGACTGGACTGTGGTTTTATAAGAATTAAAACCATACTGTCCCTAATGGTAGCCTACCATGTATGGCTAACACCTTAAAGTAAGGGTCGTTAGAATTGAGAAGCACACCATATTTCAAAGAATTTTAAAAAACCAATAACTCGTTAATAATTTTATATTGATTATATTTTAAAATGACAATATGTTAGCTATATTGGGCTAAATATTATTAAAACCAAATTCAAGTATTTTATCTATTTTGGTGATGATGCAATTTACACATGTAGATTTTTTCTTTGATATCAGAGCAATAAATAGAGATACCCAGAATTAATGCTATTCAAAAATGACTAGAGCAGTTTGTGTCACTGAAAGCTCTGAAGGTTTGCCATCATTGACCTAGAGGCTGTCAACAGTGGGAATCCTCACCTCCCAACCTCCTACTATGAGACTTTGGGGGTTTTCTGTACCCTTGTCTATAATACAGGGATCATTACCCCCAAGACCTTCTTCCAAAGTTGCCAATATTTTATATAAATCAGAAAATATCTACTGCTCATTAAATGTAACAATAACTATATAATCATTAAACATATGAAATATTTATTAAGTATATTAAATCAGATATTTGAATAATAAAAGATACAAAAATACCTGATAAACTAAGCAAGGCTTGGTAAACTAAAACACAGGTTTAGTTAGTAATGTTTTCAGTTTTGTTTTTGTTGTATTTTTATGGTGTGGTAGGAATCAAACCAAGGGCCTCACACATTCTAAGACAAGTGCTCTACACTGAGCTACACCCTCACTCCTTAGGAATGTTTATTTCTAAATAAAGTATTCACTCATCCAATAGCTCCCTGCCTTCCTACCCCCTCAATATAAACCCCTTAAACCTGGGACTTCATTAATAGTTCATAGAACCAAACATTTGAGTCCAAAATAGTCTGAATCCATCTAAGTGAAAAGATTTCCACAATGTCCTCATTAAGGGAAAACAACCCCAAATCCATAAATTATACTACTCCTAAAATTTCTGCACCTAGATGTGTGTGTGTGTGTGTGTGTGTGAATATATATAAATTTTGTTATTCTTTAATAATATTCTTTAATTGATTGCATGTTTGAACTAAGTAAACAGATATATTACTTATTTTTTATGAAAAACACAAGATCCATTGTGCAGTGCAAACACACCCGCTTGCATTCACTACATGGCAGCAGCCGAGCCCTGGGGGGACCTGAGTGCCTGCCCACACTCAGGCTCTGGTCATCCGTAGCTGCTCTGATGTGCAGCATTTCCATCCATGAGAACACCCCTGCCCTGCCCGCATAATGGCATCCCTGTGAGTTGGGCATTGCACGTGGCAGCACTTTATACTTCTTAAACTGCTCAACCCATAAAAACAGTATTTGGAGATGGCCTCAGACCACCTAGCAAAGGTGAATTTCATTCCTAAACTTATAAAAACACAGGGCAGTCTATCTTAGGGCAAAAGCTCAGCACTGACCCTTTTCTATTCTATTTTCTCTGGCTTATGAAGTTTGAAGGGTATGAAAAACTTTTATCTATAAAAAAAAAATACAAAATTTGGTACCTGAGGATTGTGCTAGTTTTCACAGATGTAAAGTAGAAAGTATTTCTTCAAAAGTAAGATGACTATATATTCCTGGAAATGTTTTCTGAGCTCCACATGATTTGAGGTTTTTTCAAATATTTACCTTTGCCTCCTTACCTCACTCCACTATCCCACGACCTCGGCAATGTGACATAAACTGGGTATTGCCTGGGGTCGGGGTTGGAAATTTCACATTTTCACTCAATTAGCATCAACCTCTTCAGTGTACTCATTCACCCTGAAGAACAGCCAGCTTCAAACACAGACAGACTATTCATCCATCATCAAGAAGACCTGGCTTTCTTCTTACCCAAATCTCTCTCTGTAATTTTCTTTTAGCAGGAAAGGGGTGGCTCTTCTTCCCTCTCAAGAGGAAGAAGTCTCTAAATATGAGTGTTATCAAATATAAACGAACAAAATATGTCCTATTTTATCCTTTCACACGTCTGTGGTACATAATGATAGCACTCACTATTGGGAACTGGTACATGTACAAATTTTAATTCCCTTCTTTTGCCCTATTCATTCCACCCCCTTTTATTTTTTCCAGCATCAGTTTTTACATAGATATCACTTTAAATAGATCATGCTTTTTCTTTTCATTAGACATGTGGCCACAAAAGTTACTAAAATCCCATTCTCATGGTACTTAAGCCCATCAAAGTAAATCACTTTAAAACCTAGAAATGAACTTCAATGTCATTTCGACCTTAAAATCAAACACCAGGAAAAGCATTCCATCCTGTGAGTGGAGTTAATTTTGTGAATTGTGTGAACTTCCCTAATCCTAAATAGACTAAATAACTGCTAACCACACTAGAAATCAGCCCACACATGCGCCTATCTTTACCTCATGGGCCTGTACACAAAACCGGCTTACCAGGATAGCCGTTTCCATCCATATCAACGCCTCCTGATATGGACTGCCCAAACATCCTCAGGACTGGGTTTATCTTCCGCCCAGACAATTTCTGAAACAGAGAATAAGGACATGGAGTCACCAGAAAATAAAGAGCCGCCAATAAGAACTTGACACTGTTTTAACTGGGTTTCCCTGGGGTACCTGGTCTTAAATTGTTTGAAGGAAAAAAAAAAGTTACTCTAATTTGATCAGGATGCCTTTAGTAGGCAGTTGAAGCCCACACACTCTTTTATTATTATTTTCTTTGGCTAAATTTAATCATTTTAAAATTTTGCTAAGTTCACAGCTAACAAATCTACCCAGACTCGTGTGATTTTTTTTTTTTTTTTGACATGCTGAAGTTCAAGATGGATAAAGTTTATTCCCAATTCTAATAGGTTCTGTTTTGTTTTGACTCAAGTATAGCAACTAAATTCTGGGAGCATATTTACTTCTTACCTCTGTACCCAAAGAGGTACAGAACACTTGACACTCCACTCCCAAGAGACACATAGTCTTGTCCTTGATGGACAGATAATTAACATAGCTGACTGGAGTTACGGCTATGTGGAAATTGCTCCTCCAGTCAGCCAACCAGGAAGTCTACAGACTCCCAAACTTCACAGCCACTATCAAACAGTTTTGTCTAGTAAATCCAGAATTCTGTACATCTACTCATCTATAATCTATAGAAGATGCTTAAGAATCAGCTAAAGGGCTGAGGAGATAGTTCAGTGGCATAAGCACCTGCCTGGCAGGTACAACGTCCCAAGTTCAATCTCCAGTACCACGTGGTCCCTGGGTACACAGTGCCAGCCCAGAAACTGGGCATAGTGGTACATGCCTATAATTCCAGCACCAGGAAAGCCGAGATAGGAGGATTACTACGAATCTGAAGTGCGTAGTGAGACTCTGTATCATTAAAAAAAAAAAAATCAGCTAAAGCTGCCCTATGCCCTATTAGACAGACCTGCCACCAACCAAAGCTCACAACTCACTACCATGGCACATATTGGCGTCTGTGCTTTTATGCATCGTGAAGTTGGTCACTTATCAACAGGCTCACGAACGCTCGCACAGCCAGCGCTCATCATGCAGAGCTGGGCAGCAACATTTGGGTGGCACAGATCCGCACAAAGACGCCAACTTCCTGCATCAGAAGTCTCAGCTCCTGGCATTTGCCTGGCTCCTCCCTGCCTTTTCCCCAGTCTCCACGGGGAGGCTCACCTCCAGTGCCCTCACTGTGAATGGCAAGAGACATGCTTTACTTTCATGTCTTGAGGCAAAATCCACAATGAACCAGGTTTACAGACATCAGGATCATTTTGCCTTTATTTCCTTATGCTTTTCCTTACTGAGTCATCCTACCAAGAACTCATGAAGGGAGGTGAGGGAGTTTCCATGGGATCGGCACGTGGACTTGGGATGTCCCTGCACCCTGTTGACAACTGCAAACAACCCTCTCAGAAATGACCTGACAGCCTCTCTCACCATTTTCAGCTAAACCAGCCAACAGGAAATGTGTGCATCAAAGTATAGATCGGAACACTGTAGGTAACATGGAGAAATGCTTCTTATTCCCAGGCAAAGCCTCATCTCCCATGTGGCTCTATCTAAACAAACACGTGTGTCTGTGTGCTCCTTACAAGCCTCTCTCTGAAGACCACCTCTCCTCTGGAGGCTCAGAATACTAGCAACAGTCTGCCCTGGGTTTGCATTTCTAAGGCATGTGGTGGCTGGGAATGGGGGACAGAGAAGGGGTGGTCTACTCTGGGGCAGTGATGCAGGCGTAAGTTATCCGCAGACATCTGCACGCCATTATGCTATAAAGCCAGGAAGATAAGTCTGCTCGGTGCTAATAACCCTAAATGGAAACCAGGAACCTTGGAAAGCCTCCACTGGACCAGGTTTACGTGCAGTGTCCTCTGCAGCGGCAGAAAGATCACAGCAACCGCCATGACATGCCCGGAGGGCTCTCAAACTGAGACAGGCACACAGGGATCTGAAAATCAACACTCTTCATAAAGGAAAAGGAATGAGTGAAAGAGTAATGTGGAAGAAGTTGAGGCTCTGATCTCGCCATTTATCCAGCAGAAATAATACCAATCTGGGCCAAAGAGAAGTGATCATATTGCCCAGACT